ATATATATATATATATATATATATAAATATCCATTTTACCTTCCGAAAATTGAATTTCATTCTATATAGAATTAATTTAACATCGTGAGAAATGAGAAAATTAAAAAAAAGAAAAGAAAGAGAGAGAAAGAGGAAGAGAAAGATAGAGAGAAAGAGAGAGAGATTAGGGATATGAATGAAAATTCAAAGAAAAACCGTGTAATATATCATGAAAAGCATTTATGATGCATGCATGCCATCGTGAAAAGAGAACTCGCAGAAATCTAAATTAATATTTCGCGTTCGTGGAACTATAGTTAGACGCCCTCGGTATAAGAACGTATGTCTGTGTATATATATATATATATATATATACACATACACCCTCACACGTTTATACATATGTTACACATATATACATATATATACACACATACATATATATATATAAACATAAATATACATACGCATATATGCAAAAGTACATATACATTCGTATATATGTATGTATATGGACGTAAATCATTCCAATCGATATCAATTTCGAGGCATTATCGACATAAACGATCCCTACATTATCGACTTATTCGATTGAAAATCAAAAATTTTGGCGCCAATCATCCATTTTAATACATTATTTGAATCGAATACTGCTATATTTCTCTCTCTATCTCTTTCTCTCTTTCTCTCTCCCTTTCTCTCTCTCTCTCCGGAATCAGGACAGGAAGTGCGAGTAAGCAACGCTGAAACTCTTCAGGTTTACGACTGCATTTAAACGCGCGATCGGTACATACACATACTTATATACATATGTATGTATACACACAGTATCTCTCTCTCTCTTTCTCTCTCTCTCTCTCTCTCTCTCTCGCTTTCTCTCTACGTGATTTTTCGAGGAGATTCTAAATAAAGAATGATTCGCCTTCGAATTTCATCACCGCATTCGAATCATTTCTTATTATTAAATATATTTTGTCAATAATATATATATATATATATATATATATATATATATATATATATATATCAATACGATAATTGAGATCTTATAAGATCTTATATATGGGATTGAATTTATATGAGTGAAACAGAGAGAAAGAGAGAGAGAGAGAATGAGAGAAATATTATAGAAGCAAGCAAAAAACAAAAAAAAAGAAAAATGTATAAAAATGATGAACGTAAAAAGAAAATAAATGAAAATTAAGAAAGAAATTATTGTCGTGAAAATAATTGAGAAAAAGAAAAAAATATTTATATATATATATATATACACATATACACATATATATATATACATACATACATACATATATACATACATACATGTTTCGAATAGACAAATATTTCGATTTTATATGCTTTTTCATATCAGAGAACTCCATTTTTCACCGACTAATTCCTTCGCACAATCTTTTGGTTTTCTTTTATTCGTCTTCCTCTTTTTCCCTTACTCTCTTCTTTCTTGCTTTTTCGGTTCTTTTTTTTTTTTTTTTGTATTTTTATTTTTTGCTTTTGTTTCCTTCTTTTTTCTATCAAATTTTTACAATCTCTATACTCGCGAAATTTTTCTATCTTCACTTATATAGTTTTGCAACGTTTATAAATCTTTTTAAAACAAAATTCTTTTTCTTCGTTCTATTCTCTCTCTCTCTCTCTCTCTCTCTCTCTCTCTCTCTCTCTCTCTCTTTCTCTATCTATCTCTTTCTCTTTCTCTCTGCGTTCATCTTTCTCTATGATACGAAAGAAAACGACTAAAGAGGAGCACGAACATCATACGAATATATATAGACGTATGTAGAGAATCATTACCACGTTTCTCGATGAGTTGTAATAATACTATACATATATGGAGAGGAGCAAAAAAAAAAAAAATTAAAAGTAATTATCTAGGTGTGTGTTACCTCCGCATCGTTTTATTTCGTCGGTGCGGTAATAGGGAGGGGAAGGGATGGGGAAAAAGGGGGGAGAAAAAAAGAAGAAAAATAAAACAAGAAGAAAAAAAAAAAGAAACAAACAAAAAGAAATAGAAGAGGAAGAAAAATACATGATCTTGGGAAATGACAGATAAGAGAAGAAGCCGACAGAGTAAATCATTAAAATGCATTCGTACGTTAACGATAGTATAAATAGAGTGATGTCGAATGAGTATTGTGATTTGTCTCTTGATACTGATAAGAAAACACCCTGGAATATCTTCGTTTTAATCCCAATTTACATTATATACACGAACATATATAATATATATATAGTTTTTTTTTAGTTTCTTTTCACAAATCTTTCGAAAATATTTTAAACGTGCAACGAAAGTGACGACGCGAGATTAAATGATTAATCTCGACTAGACGGGATGGAAAACAAAACAAAAAAAAAAAAAGAAAAAACGGAAAAGAAATAAATAAAAAAGAAAAACAAACGGAGAGAAAAATTTCCTTCTGGTTTATATTTTTTTTCGTTCTTTTTTTTTTTGAGGGAAGGGGGGGGGGGTGGAAGAAAGGGGGCGAGGCTCGTCATATCGTCATTCGTTTTCATTCTTTCTTTTCTTCTTTTTTCTATTTCTCTTCTTTCTCTTCCTCTTCTCTTTAATTTGTTCCTCGTTGAATCTCGAATTTACGTGTGATCAAATAAAGTGCAATGCACATATTAAAAGAATTCTTTAAAAGCCACGCCTAACGAGTACATATGTATATCTCGGGCTAACCTCTCAACGCAAACAATTATTCCTCGAATACGTTTATTTCCTTGACGATCGACGGATCGAACGAGCCCGGACCTCTCAAGATCGAACAGCCACGATCCAGTTCGAGCCAGTCCAAGCCAGACAACCCGGTAGACCACCTGGATAGCGGGCGGCCTTCCATGAAAGCTCTCTCTCCCTCTCTGTCTCTCTATCTCTTTCTGTCTCTGTCTCTCTATCACTGTCTCTCTTTCTCTCTCTCTCTCTCTCTCTCTCTCTCTCTCTCTCTCTCTCTCTCTCTCTCTCTCTCCAACTAGTACCGAAGTCACTGGAACGAATGCGCGCCCTCTATAAGTTCACATCACTACATTCTAACTTATTCATAGATAATTTAAAAACATCGTTTCGACAATTAATTTACGAATAATTCCATTCGATGACAAAACTTCTTTCCCAATCTTTTTTTAATGTCAGACAGTTTTTTTTCTCTTTTTTTTTTCGTTTCCTTTCCTTTCCTTTCTAATTTTTTGTTCCTCCGCTTTCTTTCTTTCCCCTTTTTTTCCTTTCCTTTTCCTTTTTTCAATCCTCAATATTTTATTTTCTTTTTTTTTTTTGTTTTTCTTTTCACCAAGTCAACACGCGGACTCGCTAAGCTACTCGAGTATAATAATCGCTATGGTATATTAAACACGTACAAGACTCATCAATCACTTTATAAAATGGTTAAGAAGACGGAAAGAATGATTAATTGAATGGAAGTAGCTGGAAGAATTGTTTAATATCGTTAAATTGAAGCTATAAATGTTTTCATTGGGATGTAGATTAAAAAAAAAAAAAATAGAGAGAAAAAAAGTAGGGAAAAAGGATACACATATATATATTTATTTATATATATACATGTGTGTGTGTGTGTATATATAATGTGTAAATTTTATTTTAGGACACATTTTTTTTATAGAAAACAAGATTCTCACTCCATCTCGTGGTAAAATGTTGAAACCATATGCTTATTCATGATTTTTAATGATATTGTTACCGACGAAGATAACGACTACTTACCAACGAAGACACCGACCACTTACCGACAATTACTGGAACTATTTATCGACGAAGACAACCAACAGTTACCAACGCAAACATATTCATGGTTACAGTAATTATAATTTAAACCACTGAACAATATTGCGATGTTATTAATATTAAAATTAAAAACAAAAATTCAATCAACGTGCCTCTGCATTTCTTTATTATTTATGTACAATTAGAGAGCAATGTGCTACGAATCGGGGATATACTTTATACACAGATAACAATAACAATAACAATAGTAACAACGAAAAAAAAAAAAACAAAAAAAAAAGAAAAAAGAAAAATATATTCACATCGCAACGGCAATAAATTCGAAATGGCTTTTGCAATCTATACGAGATAGTTTTAAAAAGAAAGAGAGCGCATCGTCTAGGATTACACAAGTAAGCTTCTTAAAATATGAAAAATTGTCGAATGCAAGAAAAACAACGGGTGTGAAGAATTAAAAACATTGGAACATTGAAACATTGAAAAACAAAAAAAAAAGGATTAAATAAAATACATTTTGTGTCATTTCGCTTATAAATATGTATCTCTACTTGTAGTATTCTTTATCTAATAAAAAAAAAAAAAAAGAAGAAAGAAAGAAAAAGAAAACAAAAGATTAAAGCTGGTCGCATCAATTTTGTTTTTGTTATCTTTTTTTTCTTTCTTCCCTTTTTTTCTCTTTATTATTTTCTTTCTTTTTTTTTCTTTACTACTTGCTCAATAAATTTTTTTTCTTTCTCGACCTTGTTTCTATCATAATTAATAGAATATCTTAATACTGAATACTTTCACCAAAGAGAGATCGGTAAATCCTTATCAAAGCAGATAAAAAGATGTATTCATTGGAACGGCCGTAAGTAAAAAATATAACGCGATATAGATGAATCACGTGTATATATATGTGTATATATTTATATATATATACGCGTATCTATGTATATATATATATATATATATATATATATATATATATATATATATGTGTATATATGTATATATACGCGTATCTATGTATATATATATATATATATGTATATATATGTATCTATGTGTATATATATATGTATCTATGTATATATATATATATATATATATATATATATATATATATGCATAATAATGAATATCAACGAATGGTCCACATATCACAAGTATCATTCAGCCTTTCACTCGATCTTTGATTACCGATCGTTAGGTAACATTTAATACTCGTTAATTATCTATATTTGTTTCTTTGTTTTTTTTTCTTTTTCTTTTTCTTTTCTTTACTCCAGTTAACTGGAATACAAAAAAAAAAATGGTCATCTGTCCTTATTTAATTTAACTACCAACAACGATAAAGATTACTATGAAATTAGTCTTAACATTCTTTTGTAACACTCGTCCTCCAATTTTTTAGACCGATAATAATTTATACTCCTCGTTTATGTTGATTCCAGCATACCTCCAGCAAGTTTGGTTGCATACAAATTCAAGGCCTTAAAAGAGAGAGATAGAGGGAAAAAGAGAGAAAATGATAATTTAAAAAAGTAAAAAAATTAAAAAAAAAAAGAAATAAAAAAGAAGTAATCAGACAAGTCTAATGTTATAGCTAAAAAAAAAGTACAAATACATAAAAAAAAAAATGTTAAAATATTTATACACACCTTATATATAAAAGCATACTGTTCTTTAGTTTGCACAGCCCCAGCTCTATCTCTTCTTATCGTATAAACCACTCTTGGGACATCTACCGTTCGTGTAATTTCATATTGCCTAATTCCCAGGTCTAATGCTATCAGTGTTCCTGTACGACCTGTACCAGGACTACAATGGACCACTATAGGTCCTGGACCACCTCTTTGAAGGGCTCTGCCTTCGAGAAGTACAGCAATAAGTCCTGCGCCGTCTGTTTGGACGCCACTGGCTGGCCATAAGTACCAAATATGGTATACTTCTCTGAATGTATTATTTTCTAAATTCTGCAAAACAAAGAAAATAAAAAAAAGAAAAAAAGAAAAAAAAAAAAAGAAAAGCCGATACAATTAATAATATCATAAACATAACAAACTGGTAATTATGAAAGTGATCTTATGATTACTTGAAATATTTAAGAAAAGAAAAAAAAAATGGAAGAAAAGTTTGATCTCATAGATCATAATTAAAATTATATTAAATTACATAAAATAATATTTAAAATTAAATTACATAAAATATCTCAAGAATAAAGACATTTAATTTTCCTTTGTTTGTCTCGTTATGGAAAAAAAAAATAATTTTTAAATAATTCAAACTCTTAACTCTTCCATCAAATGTCAAAATATCTCAGTATAAAAACTATACGTCTTACAAAAATCACTTTCTTAATCACATTGAATCGCATGTAAAAAATCTATTTTAATTTGATTTAAATGGATTACTTTTAAGTGTAACGTCGATATAGCATATTTCTCTTTGGTTTCTCGCTTCTTTAACGTCACTTGAAAATCACCGTACAATCTATGACAATCGGTCACCTCGGAAGGTGGTATATATTCGGTACACTTTTCAACCCCGTTTTCAAATAGATCAGTCAACATAATGATCACTTTGGATTGTTGTTCCCAAATCATACGCCAAAAATCGGTAACAGTCGTATCCAAAGGTGCTTGACAGGCAATGTAATATTTCGTCGCATTTTTAGGACCCTAAAAAAGATTTGTGAATTTATATATATATATATATATATATATATATATATATATATATATACATATATATATATATATACATATATATATATATATATATACATATATATATATATATACATATATATATATATATATATATATACATATATATATATATAATGAAAAATAGAATACAATAAATGAACTAACTCGAACGTAACTGGCATTGATGTATTCCGAAAGAGGATCATCGTTGAGTTTTTTCAACGGTACTCTACTTTCTGGAAGTGGTATTACATTCGCATATCTGTTCTTCACTTCAGCACCCAAAGGAAGTTCATCCATCTTGGCGGAAACCTGGGGTATACTTAAAAATTCTTCGTTAATGGCATCGACGTCGTTTGAGAAAGAAGTAAGTCCAGTGAAATTTAATGGATGAGATGGAACTGCACTCTGTAAGTAAGTAAGTCGTTAAATAAGTAAATAAAACTTTAGAAATTACAACATTTTTATTCAACATATTTTGCAAATTTTTTTCTTAATATATCTAAAATTCAAACTAATAGTTTTTAATTTATGAACGTAATCAAATTTTTACAACGTTTGTAACACCGCGAATTTTATTATAATTTAATAAAAAATATAAACGTTATAAAATACTTACTGAATCTTCAAAAGCAGGATTACCATAACTTCTTTTGGATGATCTAGCAAAACCTTTTCGTCTAACACTGTTATAAGCAGATACACTATCTAAACTATAGGCATCTAAAGATACAGGTCGACATCGTTCGCCATAATTGAATCTTGTTTGCCTTTTTCTCATAACGAACTGAAAAAATGGACACATTTATAATCCGCGACAGATCAATAATATTCCTATATATATATTGAATATGTGTATGTATATAGCATCAATATGACCTCGTATTTATCGTAATCGGCATCACCGTTTTTGCGAGTGTTTTATCGTTTCAAACGTTTACCGAAAAGAAACGTGTAACATTGAAAAGATAGATAAGAAGTTAGAGATAGAATCATTGGAAAAAGGAGAGAGTTTTTATATTAGCTAAATACCATGATCCATGTGAATCTATTCATAGATCTATGATAATTAAAAATCATTTGAATATTTTCAAACGTCTAACATTTAATTTAACAAATTTCATATTGTATGTATGTACATAAATAATTTATTAATCTAATTAAAAGTAATGCTAAAAAAAAAAAAAGAATTTCTTTTTTTTTTTCTTCTATGCCATCTAACATAAAACATTTTTACTATTATATTATATCAAGTCAGGCATGCACAATAATGAAAACGTAAAAGTACAATTATATTAAGTATGTCAATTAACTTAAATAATTTAAAAAAAAACCACAATAAAAAAACATGACATGATTGATAAAAAAATCATGATCCATAGATCATTCCATCTTTCTAATGACTAATGTCATGATCTTATAAATTTCACGATATAATATAATACCTTATTCTCCGAATAATTTAATTCATAAATAATTAATTGATTTTTAGTTGAACCTGTAATACCATTACTTTTTACCGCATTGTCGTATGTGTTAGATACTAGGTTTTTGTGTATATATATATATATATATATATATATATACATAAAAAAAAAAAAAAAAAAAAAAAAAAATTTGTTCCGTGACACCTAAAACGCAAGTAAACACAATAGTAAAGCTAATTTTTCAACGCGGATATTGCTACGTAACGAATTACTCATGACTAATGTCAGGTAAGGCAAGATACGAGTAGGCGTACAAACGAGGAAGACTTTCATGAACCTACGACGTAGCTGCTGCATCTTTATAAATCGAAACGTATCTCCTGTTTGGTAATGAGCGTAGCCGGTATCGCGAATAACAATTTTACGTTCTGTTCTTTCTTTGAATATATCAGTTAAATCTCTCTTACCAGAAGGCCAGCAAGAAGAAGTAGACAAATGAATGCCACTGAAGAAACCACAACGACGGCTATTGCGTTGCTAGAATCTATTTCCTGTACTAATACGATACTGCGTATCTAAAAGGATAAATTTAATCAGACGATATAAAGATTAATAATATACATAAGAGATTTTAATGGGATATATTAAAGTGCTAAGGTTGTCAGTTTAACTTACTGTTATTGGAAAATCTGATGCTACTGATGATTTGTACATATTTGGTAATATCTTAGTCATCGCAGCATCGAATTTACCATTTTCATCAACTACGTAAACGTATATTGTAAGAAAAGATCCTTCGGATGATGAATTATCTTTTGAGTTATCCGATTCGGTACACGGGTTCTTATGAAACTTAACTTGTTTTGCTAGAACGACTCTGTAAACATTATGACGATGCTAAATTTGGAAACAAACAATCGATATGATCGAAGTCATACTTAGCGGCATACTTACTTATCCAAACCATTAGACAATATATTAGCAAGAAATTGTTGAAGTTCTTCAAGATGTGGACAAACGTCATGCCTATTACCCTCAAGTATTACCCTAACCAGAGATGTAATTTCGTCTGGTGGTAATGTCTCCATGGTGGTGGCAACAGTAGTTGTAGGGATGTCTACTGCATCAACAGATTTCTTACCTAGTAACTTGTCGTCGGGTAACGTTGTAACAAACGTACTACTTGGAAGATCTAGGGTAACAACATTTACGAGTGGTGTTGCGTCTAAACTCTCGGTAATACTTTCGACACTGGTCATCATGTTATTTTCCGTATTGCTAAGTGTACTTCTAAGTGTACTGCTAGTGATAATCGCATTTGGCGTAGGTGTAACAGGTAAAGTACGTTCAACCGAGGTCGATCTAGGCCACGATTCAATTTCCGACAAACTTCTTGTACTTTCTTTCGAATCGGAAACGTTGTTACTAATGTTGATATCGGTCTGTTCATGATTTATAGACAACGTCTCTTCAATAGCCAAAGTTGTCGTTGTTAAAGAGTTTCTACCGTTTTCTGTCAATGTAACAAATTTGTATTCAACAGTACTACCAGGATAAAACGAGGAACTACTAGTCGTTGGATTAACGGAAGATTGATCAGATGATTCGATCGTAGTTTCCGTAGAAAAATCATTATCAATATCAGTAATAAGAGTCGAATAATAATCATCTGTAAGAGTTGATTTAGTAGTTGGATTCTCGGTAGTTTTCGTATCTAATATGGAGGAATCAATGGGAACGACGGTAGTAGTCATTGATACGATTGTATTTGAATTAGTACTTTCAGTTATACCGTTTCCTGTAAAATCGTTAGGATCATCAATCTTCGATTGAACGTAAGGGAACAATGTTCCTGTTGTCAGAGTCCCAATTGTGAGAGTTCCAATAGATGAAGATTCGGTTGATGTGCTGCTGCTGCTACTACTGCTACTGCTACTGCTACTGCTGATGCTACTGCCGATACTACTGCTGCTGGTGCTACTTGACGAAGATAATGAACTGGTAGACTCGATTGTTAAATTATTTATAGTATTATAACTACTTCCGAATACTCCTGATTGTTGAATACTATTCTCTAAAACAACCGAAGACTCGGTTACTATTGGCTTTTTTTCAGAATCCTTTCGACCAATCGTGTTCTCGTAAATCGATGCATCTCTCGTTGTCGTAGCAACGGTTAAATTAGTTTTACTCAACTCCAACAATTTCTTTTCGATAATTACGTTGGATATGGACGACGACGACGACGACGACGACGACGACGACGACGACGATGATACAACAGGTAACGTTGATACTGGAACGTTCGTTGTTGATTTAGTTTCATTCAAAGTCATTGAAACATTTTTAACATTGTCTACATTTTTCATTTCCTCAATATATTTATCTATATTCAGCTTTTCCATTCGATCGAACGATCCTAATTCATTGTCCAAAAATGGAGATGACGAAGTAGACTCGATCGTGGTCGTTGCGATACTGCTGATATTATCTGAATCTTCAACTACGTCTTTATTCGTTTCGTTGATCACCGTAGAAATCGTCGTTCGCGTTTTTTCTTCTTCTTCTTCTCCTTCTTTTTTCTCTTCTTTCGATACTTTCTTCTTATGATCTTCATCCTCGAGATCAGGTAATTTCAAACCTTTTGCTTTCAAATCACCGCCGTTTTCTTCTTTTTCTTCCTCTTCTTCTTCTTCTTCTTCTATTTCTTGATTGACTTTAACTGGATTGGCTACAACCAATGACGATGATTCCAAATCGTCATTTTTATTCGACAGTTCAATAAACTTTTCTGATACGCTCGATGTCGTCACTCCACCAGCGAGGACCAATAAAATAGCTCCTAAGATATCGTTGAAGAGAATCATTTACATAGATATTTTTCTTTAACATTTTCTTTAATTCATTTCACCTACATATGTATATCGTTAATGGGTTTCCATTTAATATATTATCAAATTAATTCATTTAATTACTCTCAATCTATTTACATATGTACGTTTATTAATCTCTTCAAGTTAATCAATTCCTAATCCCTACGTTTATATTATTCATAATTCTTTATATATATATATATATATATATATATATATATTTTCTTTTTTTTTTTTTTTTATCAGAATATAAATGAATTCAGTAATTTCTAGTTAAAATGAAGAAATAAAAAAAAATAAATAAATAAAATAAAAATAATAATAATAAAAAAAAAAAAAAAAAAAAAAAAGAAGGAAAAAAGAAACGTAAGTAAATTTTTTTTTAAGTGCACAAATTTTTTTTAACCATCGTCAACACTGTTTTTTATACCATTATCGATACTCCTTATTATTATTAAATTTGATTTTTATTTTGATTTTTACCTCTTCCCTAAATACAAGTTAATTAGCTACGATGAAAGAAAAAGTATCGGAGACAAATGTTTCCATGAGATTTGTTTTTTCAAGGTGATACGATAAAACTATCGAATCGTGAGAATATAGACAAGCTAAGAAGAGTTTAACGGATCTAAAAACCGGTTTTACGGGAATATCGCTTGCTCGGCTTTTCGTCGTCGCGAACTATGTACTTACGTAGTATCATCATCATCATCATCATCATCATCATCATAATCATCATAATCATCATCATCGTGAACATAAATTTATCTTTTATTTTTTTCCCTTTTTTATTTTTTATTTTTCTCCTTCCTTTCGTTTCCTAATTCCCACGATTACTCGAGACTAACACGATTATATTAAAAAGTACATACATACATACATACATACATATATACATATATACATATATACATACATACATACGTACATACATATGTACATACAGAATAAATTCAACTCACCTAAACATACTCTCAGCAACAAACACGACGTTGCTTCGTACATCTTCCTTTTGATCGGTAACTACACCCGACACTTTTTCTATTGAATCTGAAATAAAAACTTCGAATTAAATATATTAAATCATCAAGATAACATTAGTTAAGATAAATAAATAAAATCCAATGACAACAATTATATAATTATTTTTATATGATAAAAGATAAATTGGATATATATATATTTATAATATATAAAAAAAAAAAAAAAACTGATTTGAAAGATCTATTAAAACTTTATTACAAAAAAGAAAAAACATTTTTTTTTTAACTTTTTCAATTAATTAGTTCAATATATGTACACAATGCGAAAAATATATAAACAAGATAATAAATATATTATGTGTAAACGATCGTAATAACATATCTACATAATATATAAAGAGAGAGAGAAAGAGAGAGAGAGAGAGAGAGAGAGAGAAAGAGAGAGAGGAAAAAACGACGTCGTCATCTTTCGAGCACACATCAAGCAAAGGAGGTCAATCGCAATGCTCGTCAATTGGATTATCACGAGTTAGGTCTCTGCCGGCACATTACTTCCCGCACCCTCACGAAAAATAACCGAGCTTGAATTCGAATCGAATCAGAAATAAGTGAGTTAGCGAGCTTTCTCGGTAACGTTGTTACTTATTTTTCTTCGTACTTTAAATGGAAGAAGAAAAAAAAAAAGGAAAATAAAAAAAGAAAAGAAAAACTACGTAATTCGATTTGTTTCTCAAATATGAAAATGAAAATTATTATTTTTTTTTGTTTACTTTACTTGTTTAATCAGTAAAGATATATATATACATATATAATATGTATAATCAGAGATTTGATTTTTAAAAAATATAAATGATTAAACGGAAGTATTGTTTGAAGTGATACAATGTCTAAGCTATTATTTAATATTTCTTTTGTGCTCATTTTGAAAATGTAAAAGATTAATATAATTCTGTTGAAAAGAAATATCTAGGAGGAAAAAAAAGAACGAGAAAAAAGAAATAATAGAAGGTAGAATTTACACGAGGAAGAGATAAAAGATAGATTCGTGAATCGCAAACTACTATCGTGAAAGCGTGAAGAAGCTACAGTATGAATAATTGCGAAAGCGTATGAAGAACGAAAGAACGCTAACAACTGTGAACGTGCATAGTTTTAGAAAAATATAATTTACTATACGTATACTGTCTTAAAAAAAAAAAATCCTTTTAATTAAAAAAAACATGAAATCAATATCTTGAAATATTATCGATATATCGTACCATTATTGATTATTATTACGAATATATCGATCTTTTATCATTTCTTAAAGAGAATAGACCAAAAGTTCCTCAATGAATTTTAATAAACCACCAATTACTTTTTCTCGAAGCTTTTTAAACTCGTATATCTTGTTGGGGTTTTGATTTTATCGAATCAGAAAAAAAAAATCTAACCTAAAAATTCTTTATATTGTAAAACCTATCCTTCAGCATATTGTGCATTTGTGTAATAAAATTAAACGCGTCGATTTATATCGATATAATTATGAGTACATCGATTATTATTAATATGATAAAAGGAATAAAAAATTTTTATTTTATCAAAATGAATAAAATTTTGTTAAAGATTTCTGTCTAAATAATTTTTTCATAATAATGTTCATTGTTGTATACATTTTTTAAGATAATTTATATACACACATTATATATAATGCATTTTTGAGGTAGTATCGATTCAATAGAAACGAAAACATCGAAAGATTTGTTTCATTCCTTTCTCTCTCTCTCTCTCTCTCTCTCTCTCTCTCTCTCTCTCTCTCTCTCTCTCTCTCTCTCTCTCTCTCTCTCTCTCTCTCTCTCTCTCTGTCTCTTTCTCTCTCTCGAAATAATTCTCTCGTTGTCCGACCAGCCAACGTAATTTCAAGCCATTATTTCATGAAGAACGTTCCATTGCGAGAGAAGCAAGTAACAAATACGGGCGGCCTTCTATCGATCGAATTTAATTCTCTTGCTTTGAATCGATAAAGTCTTCTGACAATGAGGCTCATTCAAGAAATCATTTTGAAATGATAACTTATACAAAATATGTTAATATTTTTCGATGTTACTTCTCTTTTTTTTTTTTCTTCTTCCACTCCGAACAACACTTGACACAAACTACAACATTTATTTATAATGTTCAAAATCGATCTAACGATTTATCAATTATCGAATACATCGAAAAAAATATCATTATTTCGATAATTTACCTAATTCGATAATATTAATTAATATGATTAGAACATAAGATATGAAGGAAGAAAAAATAAATAAATAGAAATCTTTCCTTTTTTTTTTTTTGTATTTATATAAAATAGAATAAGTAATAAAAAATGATATTCCTTCAACTTTTGATATAAGTCATTTTCGTTATGACCAGCACGCTTATAATTACAAATAGCAATTATATTTAATCATAAATATTAGTAAATAAAATTAAAAAATTTAAAGATATTTTTATTTTTGTTGTCAAGTTTGTAGTTTTACAATATGAAAAAACAATTAACCTATAAATCTCGAAAAAGACATATCAATTTATATTATATATATATATATATATATATATATATATATATATAAAATTCTTGAAAACTTTCGTTTTTCATTAAACGCAACTATACCAGCTCTTATTTCCTTTGAATACCTAAAAGATAACTTAAGACAAAGCGAAATTGTTCGTAGACAAAGAAACGAGAAGTTATTACGAGACCTTTGCCTTTCACGAGGAGAACGAAAGTTCCTCTGTTTCTTAGCAAATTATTCTCACGATAACGTCAACACACACACACACAACATGTTCATACATAATACAGGACTCGAAGTTCGAGTTCCCACGCTTCGATAAGTCTGTCAATTAAAAAAGTAAAAAATAAAAATTAAAAAAAAAAAAAAAATACGAATAAAGATATATATATATATATACACACTATCATTTATACATACATTCGTACGTATACAATTCAATTCGAATTTCCACGCTTTGATAAATTTCTCGATTAAAAAAATAGAAAAAGAGAAAAAAAATACACACACACACACACACACATATACGTTCATATATGCAAAACTTGATCTGAGTTTTTACGCTTCGTTAAATCTTTCGATTAGAAAAAAAGGAAAAAGAAAAAGACAGAGAGAAATGAAAAAAAAAATAATCATCACCCCCACACGTATAACATATTCGTAGATACACAACCTGATTCGTTTTTTCACACTCCAATGAATCTCTCTATTAAAAAAGTGAAAAGAAATTTTTAAAAAATGTAAATAAGAATAAAAATAAAAGTAAATAATAATAATAATAATAATAATAATAATAATAATAATAATAATAATAATAATAATAATAATAATAATAATAATAATAATACTAATAATAATAATAATAATAATAATAATTTTTGGATAAGCTAACCAATTCGAGCTACGCCTTCTTCCGATTGTAATAGACGCGTGCGCTCTAGTTTATAGTTGAACGCGTTCTCGCTTTCACTCACTCGTCATCGCGTCCTCGTCCTCATCGTCGCCGTCGTTGTCATCATCGTCCTCGTCGCCGTCGTCGTCGTCGTCCTCGTCATCATCGTCGTCGTCGATTGTCCTCGTGAATACTCGTGAATGATCGAGATTTATAAACATGTACGAAACAAAGTACAGAGCAGCAACCTTAGATTTACACTTTAGATTACAAGCGTGTAAAACTAAACCGTATAAATCAAGACTAATATTAGTCTAGAGAGAATCAAAAGGATCTCTATATATACATAAGTATATATATATATATATACATATATATATATATATGAATGTAACATATACGGTGAACCAGATAAAGTGTTACAAGCTGTTCTCTCTAACCATTAGAGATAATGACTGGTTTATATGTGCGATTGTTATTTCTAATTATAAGATAAACAAATCAATCCTTTTATTAGTGCGATTAAATAAAAATGGAGAGAGAAAAATCATCAGATTTTTTTTTGCCTCTGAAAATATTTGTCACCGTAATTCTCTTTCGCCACGCTCATTCCTTTCCTTTTTAATTTTGTTTTTTTTTTCTTTTTTTTTTTTTTTTTTTGTAGAACGACATAAAAATTCGTGATTACGTGTTCTTACGTTCATCTCACTTTTCATTTGTAAAATAATACCACAAAATATTTTGATTTCTTTTTTTTTCTTCTTTTTTTTTTTATACATCACATAACCGAAACTGTTTTCTTTTTTTATCGAGGAAAAAAAACAAAAAGAATAAAAGAAATGAAGAGAAAATAAAAGAAAAATAAAATGTCACTTTGTATAAAATATCAATGAATAGATAATGAAAATCTAATATAAGCACATCCTTCTCATACGAAGGACTGCAAATAGTCTTTGTTCTCTTTCTCGTTGAAAGACCAACAAGCGACTATGACTCGTGTAATGGTATTAAATGTCAGGTCAAGAGAGTGGCTTGGTTGATCGGTTTTATAGTCGCAGCAGGCAACCACTCTCTCTCTCTCCTCTCTCTCTCTCTTTCTTTTTATCTCTCTCTTCATCTCAAACTGCATGCAGCATAACACGGCACACCTACGCTCATTTATCCGTTGCTCTCTCTCTCTCTCTCTCTCTCTCTCTCTCTCTCTCTCTCTCTCTCTCTCTCTCTATTTCTCTCTCTCTCTCTCTCTGACTTATTCAAAAATATAATAGAGAAATAAAACAATTAAATCAAGAAATTTGTCCTATAAATACAAGTTATGATTCATAAGCGTCATTATCACGTGATTTTAAAAATCGATTACTCTTATTCTATGACTTTTTTAGGTTAATGTTCTTTTCTTTTTCTTTTCAAATTGTAAAACTATACGTAATCTAATGGTACGAGTCTACAAATTATCAAAAAGAATTAACTCATTTTTTAAATCATCTAACAACATTAGCCCTGACCTCTTTTTTTTTTTTTTTTATTTATTTATCTTCTTAACTTTTTTATCTTTTTTTTTTTTTACAACAAAGATGGAACGTATCGAACTACTTACCACTATTGCTACCGAGAACCAATACATATATATATATATGTCACGTAAAAAGATAAGATAACGCGAGTAGCAACGTAAAATCGTTTTAATTACAATTCCATACCTTTCTGTCGATGATTAAATACAAGAAAAAAAAAAAAAAAAAAAAAAAAAAAAAAAAAACAAACAAACAAACAAACAAACAAAATATATATATATAAAAGAACGAAAAACTAATTATCGAGGTTATTCGTACAAACTGATTTGCACGTCTTCACGAATTAGCGTATCTAAACGAATAATTTAACCTAAATTACAAAAAGATGATTTTAAAGAGAGTCTAGAGATATCGTAAATATCTTCTCTCGAACTATGTAACTTTGAAACACAAAAAACTATTGCTAACTTGCTGACGAAGTCGCTCGACTTCTTTCTCCTTTGATCGCATCTTTCAGAATTTAATGTTACACAAAAGACTATTCTAAGGCTTTTTTTTTTTACTTAATACTTTCTAAGGATTCGAGCTACGGCGCGAATATATATATCATCCTACAATAATATTCTAATAGTGTAAGTTCCGTACCATCGTAATATATAAATATTATATATTATATATAAAATGTTATAATTATAATATATATATATATTAATGTTATATATTACTTATTACATGTATTATATACAATAAATAATATTGTGTGTATATCTTCAGTGAAAAAGAAAAAAAGAAAAGAAAAAAAAATCGAATTATTCGATTATTCATTTATTAAAAATTATTGGCAAATTTTGACCTGAATAAATGCCTTCATAAAAACAAAAATCAAATTGTTTGATTAATTTCATAACTGTATACTTTTTATACGTATGTGTACGTGTGTGTGTCTGTACACATAATATATATATATAGTACTGACGAAATTTCTAAAAAGAAGTCGGACATGAAATAGAAACTTAAACATTTTGAAATGCTAAGAAAAACAATATATATATATGCATATATGTATATATGTATATATGTATATATGTATATATATATACATATATACATAGTATGTACGTATATATATATACACACCACACACGCAACACGTATATATATATAAGTGGTGTTCAAATGTAACGATATCGTACCGTTAACAATACCATTTGCCGCTTAAGCAACAAAATAGACGTGTAATACTTCTTTCCGATTGATCGATCGATCGATCGACCGACCGACCGATCGATCAATCGTGGGGGTGAGAGGGTGGGAGGAAGAGGGGGAAGGACAAAGAGAGAGAGAGAGAGAGAGAGAGAGAGAGAGAGAGAGAGAGAGAGAGAGAGAAAGGAAGAGACAAAGAGAGACTATGATCAAGGAGAACACGTTTCTCACTGAACAGGATCGCAAATAGATCTGATCGTAAGGAAAAGATAAATTATTTTGGTTTTACCTACCACGAATAAATCCGTCGAAATTCGTCTGGATTGTTGTCGTCGTCTTTGTCGACGTCGTGTCGAACTAGGCGGAAACACCAAGTCCGCATTATCGTCCTCCTCTCTTTCTTTCTTTCTCTATCTCCCTATCTCACTCTCTCCCTCTCTCTCTCTCTCTCTTTCTCTCTTGTCTTTCCTTGCTCCTCTCTCTACCGTTTCTATTCTGTACCTTTCTTATTATATGTACGTCTCAAGTAACACGTTACGGCTAAGAAACTAAACAGAGAACACTCTCAACTAGTTCTATCTCTCTCACTTCGTTTCGTCTTTCCAAAAAAAGAAAAAAAAGAAAAAAAAAAGGAAAGAAAAAAAATCGAGAAAAAAAATTCGTTAGATTTTTTGAAGAGAAAAATTTTCGAGAGAAAGAGACAGAGAGAGAGAGAGAGAAAGAAAGAGAAAGAGGGAGAGAAACAAAATTTAGTATTAGATTTTTCTTAAAAGAATACACCACAACACACGGTACCCATGACGACGACGAGGAGCGTTCTTTCTCTCTTTCTCTCCCTCTCTCTCTCTCTCTCTTTCTTTCTCTCTCTCTCTCTCTTTCTTTCTCTCTTTCTTTTTTCTTTCTCTCTCTCTCTCTCTCTCTCTTTCTCTTGGCACTTACGTGTTCTTCGTCTCGCGCGGTTTAACACGCGCGCGCGCGTGCGCCCGCGTACACGTACCCCAACATTACTCGAGTACGCTTTTATAAGTATAATGTTAACAAGATTGATTATTTATTTATTATGATAATCTTTTCTCTCTTTCTCTCTCTCCCTTCTTGCGTCTTTTTTTTTCGTTTATTCAACACTTTCTCTTTCTTTTTATTTCGCACGCGACATATGTCCCATGTAAGAAATAACTAAGGCGAAAACGTGATAACGGAAAAACACAAGACAACCAATCCCGACGACAGCTAACGCTGAACTGTCGTGACTGGCTGCGTCTCCCTTTCGCGGGAGAGTCGTGCGCATCATCGTAGCGGTCATCTTCTGATTGGTTGAAATTAAATTCAAGCGGTGTATCACGTACCCGCGAATTTTAAATGTCTCATTTACTGTTACAACCTTTTTATGGGATCTACCTTCGATTTCTTTTGCATTTTTCATGTTATTATTATATTAATAGTATTATTAATACATCATGTATATAGTATAGTTTAGTATATTGTATATATGCATTAGGGCAGTATATATAATACATTGGTGTACAATATAGTATAGTGTAGAATACAGTACATATAAGTATATACTATTAATATCATTATATTTAAAGGGATTCTTAATATATATATATATATATATATATATATATATATATATATATAAATTGGATTAAAGTTAAATCAAATTCAAGATCGATAGAATTCAAATTGAATTAAATCATGTATTTAGATGATCAGTAAGGTCGAGGTTAATTTCGATCTGTAAATAAAATCAATGAGGCACGTTCGTCAATTAGGATTCAGTAATTTGGGGAGTGGCAATCTCCAAATTATTATGAGAGGGGCGTGCCTTTAACTTTATATATATAGTAATCATACGGGATGAAACTATTTTTTTTCGATAACAGCACTTAAGTTTCGTGATCTGAATAACCTCAAATTTATTTAATCAAATTATCTTATTAATAATAATAATAATAATAATAATAATAATAATAATATATATATATATACGTATAATTATACTTGATTAAAATAAATTATAAATATCATTTATATTGTTTCAATATTAACAATAAATGTATATACATATATATATCAATGATCGATATTTATTGACGAACGTTTGAAATTGAAACGCTATCGTTTTATGTCTGGAAAGAGTCACGATGTTTTGGAATATCCAATGTATTCTCATGTAACACGACGTAATTTATATTAGGGGCGTATTCTCTTTGTCATACGTAATCATTTGATGCTCAAGTTATACGTGACTAAAGTACATAATATATTACGATGTTAACTATATATAGTGAACCATTTGCATATGATTTGAAAGAATATATACATATATTTTTTTATAAAAAATATATTACATACATATATATATTATATATGTATATACATAAATATATATAGTCTTTCTTGTTATATAAATATAGATATATATATGAAATAAATAAGAAAAAATATATTAGCATTTAAAATTCATTTATTAAAATCTACACAATATTATAAAAGCAAGTATAAAGTTGGAAATATGTAAAAGGATTATACAAAAGTGTTATTAAGATTCTATCCTCGCTTATTTGCAATATCGTAAGATATATACGCGTCTTACAATATACATCGTGATTTTATTTTATTCATCTATATACAGGGAGTGCCGAAAATAAGGCAAAAAGAAGCTGCATTTGTTCGCAAGATTTTCTTTTCATTCATTTTTTTGATCTTTAAAGAACCTTCGTTAAACCCCCCTCCCTCCCCAGGGAAAACAAACAACCTATAAGATACATCATATTTTGTTATCAATAATTATTTCATATTATATTCGAAAATATATTATTAAATTTTTAAATAAGTAAACTTGAAACCTCTTAAACATATAAAATACAATCTTTAAAAACTATCACGGCTGAAATTTTACCACATAAAGAAATTTTGTTTTTTAATATTGTTCAAGAAACTTGAATAATATTAAACACTGATTCCTTTTTTTTGCTATTCATATGGCATAACAACTGCAATAAATTAATTGCAGTTGTTTTTTTTACTTATTGGCTTCTATGATAACTTTTAAAGATTAAATTAAGTCCCGGTTAAAGAATTAAATTTAAGTACATTCTGCATTAAGTGCAAACGAAAAAGATTATCGTTTTTGTTGACAATATATTAAAGAAAATAGAATGATTATACTAAATGATTATAAAATGGAAAAATTGTGTATGTTCAATCCTTAATTTTCACTGCTTTAACAATGTCCAATTATATCTAACCTAAACTTTCCTGACACCCTGTATATCAGCTACCATTTAATATCCTTGTTAAATTTTATTATTTTAAGAAAAGGCTACATAAAAAAAAGAAAATGGGTTTTGCTAATTGAAATAGAGAAAGATAATTAAGATTACTTGTAAGAAAAACAAAAAAAAAAAAAATACAAATAAAAATAAAAATAAAAAATGAACAAATAAAAAAATACTACTCTTTTCATTACATACACTACGAATGCCACTGAACGTAGGGCATAGAATTACACAAAATATGTACAAAATTGATTGTATTAAAAATTGAGATATAGTATTGTGATGGATATGTACTACTTCTCTACTATATTATTATTATTATTATTATTATTATTATTATTATTATTGTTATTGTTATTATTATTATTATTATTCGCTTTAGAATCAGTAAAAGTCACAATATGTTTCTATGTTTTTCCATGCACATATATACTTATGCAATTAAGATAAAAATTGAATAGATAAATTATTGTTATTTTCTGATTGTAATGTTTAAATGTGCACGAATAAACAGTTTTTTTTATAATGTATAATATCTCTCTATTAACTCTCTGTTAACAAATTTTTTTTTGCAAACAAGATACTAACATGAATATTAATTTTATACTTTGGCACATACCAAAGACATTATTTAACAAGGCATAATGCCTAGAGAAAATACTATTCAAAGTTATCACTTCAAATTTAATTTTAATTATCTTATTCGTATCACCAAAGTGTTTCACGTTAATTCAATCATTTGGAAGATAGACTCTTTGAGATTAACTCTTTGAGACGCGTCCCAATATATATGTATTTTACCATCGCATTTGTAACTATAGATCATTAATAATTTATGTGTTATATTCTCATCACATACTTTTATTAATATGAGCAAGCAGAATAGAGTAATTGTGGTAACTGGAGTTTAAAGATTCTTTTATACGATACTAGATTCTGCAAAATATTCTGCAGCATCTTAAAAACATCTAAAAGATAATAATCAACAATCGAGATATTCATAAATTCACTCTCCCGCAATATTGTTATTCTGAAAATTTTTATGTAATAATCTTCTTAATAATTTGTTGTTACACCCTTGGTGTTAAATGTCTAAAATATCTTTTATAACATCTACCTTCGTAACGATATTACTTCATTATATTCATCAGTTATACTGATATAAAGACCTACAGAACTTTATTAATTATATGTACCACTACTGTGTCATTACTATAAACTTTTGCTCTGGAATGTTAATTTGTACTACCAACATTCATATTGCCAACGTATTGTACTTCTCTCGGCATGTGTATACACAATTTGACTTGATGTATATATATTGTGCATACACAAGTAAGAGGGCATGCATATCTATATATATATATATGTATTAGGCTTCATCTTTAACTAAGTGTGTCATATTTGTGTCATAATTCGTCTTGATATTTCAATAGTAAGTATCTAAAGATATATGTAATCTAAGTAAAAATGTCGGATATCAGGCCCCCGGGATTATACTACGTTTCTTAAAATCTATCAAAAATAGTGATACTAACTGCTGCAAGTAGCCACTTCGATAATGAACACTGATTCGCAGTTGCCCACTGAAGTCCTGGGTAGTTAATATTTGGCATTGAAATTTCTACAAATACATATTATTTCAAATTAATATATTATTAATGTCTATAATAGATAATAATTATTTAATGAACATTAATAATAATAATAATGATGATGATGTTGAACAGTCAAACACAATCTACTACAAATATCAAACAGAAAGAATCCAAAATGACATACCTCATCAGTATGGTAATAACTAAAATAAGGATTATCAAGGGTCCTGAAGAAACTGAGGTCACACCAGTTCCATAATGAACTTGACCACAAGCTGGTGGACAAACTGGGGTAAAGGTTTCTGCGCAAAAATAAGCAAACATAAAAAACATGCATTATACAAAACGAACAGTCGCAATAGAAATAAATTGATAAATGATAGCTATATGGAAATATTGCTACGTAAATTATAATAAACACAAGTGTTCAAAGCCATTCAAGGTCATTCAAGGTCATTCAAGTGAAAAACAAAAAAATATATTGTAACACTTGCTACTACTAACACATGCTTTATATATACAATATGTTAACACTGTGCTCAGATACTAAAAATAAGAATAACAAATAATAAATTAAGAAATTGATATATACTTACCAAAAAGCTCAACTTTAGTTTCTGCAGTTCCTAATTTGTTAGAAGCACGACATATATATTCTCCATACTGTTTCTTTTCTATTGTTATTATTCGAATTGTCGTATCACTATATTCATCCGCAGTTGCAAAATGAGATATACTGTGATGCTGATTATTTACCAATACAGTGCTATCTTTCAGCCAAACTATTGCAGGTGGAGGATAAGCTTCCACATGACATTCTAAATCCATGTCATACTGTAAAGCTTGACCTAAACGTGGTCGAGGTGCCATTATTACAGGAGCAAATTCAACTTCGACATTAATATTACGTCTTGCGCCACGTCCTACCCCATTTTCAGCGATGCAATAATACGTTCCACGATCTTCTTTGCGAATTGTAGGTATTTTGAGAATATTTCCGCTAGAATATTTATATTTTGTTATTTAACTTCATCTTAATAACACATTAATTAATATCATATTAAAATCGATATATACCGGTAAATAGATCCACCAGTTGGTAAAATAGCATTGTTCTCTCTGCGCCATGAAATTCTTGGTTGCGGAAATCCTCCTGCATGACATTCTAGTTGTACAGATTGTCCTTCGCTAACGACAAGAGATCGAGTCGAATTATCGCTGATGATAGGTGGTCTTCGTACTTGCAATTCTACTTCTGCAGATATTCGATTATTAAGAGCAATCAATACTTGACATACGTAAAACCCAGCATCTGTTTCTTGTATGTCCTTTATCTGTAACAATGATACTTAATAATAAATATAATCAGTAATAAAACTAATGCAATGAAATAATATAAATCTCATCCATTTCATTACCTGCAATGTATATGTAGAAGATGCTTGATCATATCTAAGAGCAAATCTGCTATCTTTTACAATTAAGGCACTATTCGTAGAAAGCGGTAACTGATCATAACCACTCTCTTTATTCACTTTTATCCATAAAACAGGATACTCCTGGCCATATTGCACTGAACAAAGTAGTTCAACGGTTCCACCAATATCCTTAATTTGTATTTGCGAGATATAAGAAATTGTTGGTGTACGTTGACATGTTGCTAAAACATTATTTAATTAAATTATCTTTACATTTTCTAAGAGAGAAATTATCAATATATATGATAAGTTTGATGTACTCTACGTGTCACAAAAATTTAATTGTTTATATATATATATACATATATATAATGAAATAATATAAAAATTGTGAGAAATAAATTTTTAAGCAATTTACCTATCTGTATTATTGCAACAGTAAGAATTAGTATAATTCTCATCATGATGCACTAAATAATATTTAAACGGCAGTCGAATATTTTTCACTATTTCAATATCACCTTCGTTTACTCCACTAAAAATGAACTTTTTCTATATCCCTAACGTAGTAAAAAATATTTTATAAAAAGAATTATTGTAGAGCAATCGATTGTAATAGTGTTTTTGGGCGATGAGAGAACGATGCTCACAGGTGTCTGTTGATCGACAATAAATATGGCGCATGACGCTACATCCCTAGTCAAAAAATCAACTTTACATTTTAGCCTTCTTTTTATTTTTATTGTTTCGATTGGAAATTTAATATTATAGAAAAAAAAAGAAATTACATGATATTTAATATATCAATTTATCAATCCATTGAAATAGATTTATTTGATATTAAGAATGATAGATTATTCCGGAAGTACTATAGCGACACTAAATCATTTTTTTTATGTTTCAAAATCAATATTGATTCGAATCTATTAATTAAATAATATATATGCATTCTCGTAATACACACGTCGTAAATTACATTTAATTAAGTTTTCAAGTTGAATATGTCGCAAGAATTCAGTAATAAGGTAGATTTTTATGATATGAAGAATACTTTGTTTCATTAATTACTTTTCTCTTTTTTTTTTCTTTTTATTACATGTATAATATAATAATAATTAAAGTAAAAAATCTTATGTAGAAATAATGTTATAATTCAGCAAAAGGTAATTCATTGAAGGAACAAAGTAAATCATGTATGTCATGATTACTACTCTCATTATTATGTTTATCGTCAACAGTTTTAAAATCTTGAGGAATAAAAATCTTATCTTCGCTTTGACACAATATGTTGCTCTCTGAAAAAGTTTGCATGTTTGCCCACCTCAGTGCCACTTCTTTGTAAATACATTTTCTAAATATCAAGCAATGTATATGTCGCAATTTTTCATATTTAATTCTCATAAAACCCAACTTGGATAAAACATATCTCCATGATTTTATTAACTTAGCATTTGCACCGACATGTTTCGAATCAGGACTAATAATAAATAATATACCATTTTTCTTCAATAAATTATATGCTTTGCTACAGCAAAGATATCTTTGTTTTGGACATGGCATATATTCTAACAATAAAGAAAATACAACAACATCAAATGATTCTTCGCGTAATTGTAAAATTTGTTTTTTATCTGCAGATAGGATTTGTTCTCTTCCTATATCGACGCTTAAAAAATCACACTGTAAAACGTTAGGTTGAACAGCTACCAAATCTATTGCCGTTACTTTGAACATATCTTCCATTTCAAAAGGATTATAACAACTTCCTACGTCTAATACTGAAATCTTTTGAAATGTTTGTTCTCCTTCATTTAACAATTCCTTATCGTTATAATAATTATGTTTGGAGACCAACATATTTTGTTCCTCTATATTATTACCATTTAATATCAACAATTCACCCATTTTTCCTTTTATACTAAATTCCCTATTAGAATATTTTTTTTTGCCACCATTGAAAAAATATTCTTTACATTGAGTTTTGATCCATTCTATTCTACAATAAGTTCCACTTAAAGAATCTGTATTATTGCCTTTCCAATGCGTAGTTGCAAGATCCTTCATCGACATAACATATTTCTAAAAAATAATTGAATTAAATATAAATCAAGCATATAATAAAATCTATATAATAAAATACATATATTTTATTATAATCTGTCTTAACAAATAATAATAATTAATATAAAAGTATCACGTGTCATCATAAATATACATATGTACATTAAAATAAAATGAATAAAGAAGAAAAAAAGATAAGCAGACCTGTAAAACGTCGTTACGGCTTACATGTTTTTGCCATGCTATTTCTGCACCATATTCTTCGCATTCTTTTCGTAATAAAGCATGAATTTGTTTAACAACATTAGCTAATCGTTTGTGTTCTTCGGTCGCCATACTTATATTCGGTACGCATGGAATGTGTGTGTGTGTGTGTGGGCACGCGCGCCTGTGTGTAACTATAGAAAGATTTTCAGTAGCTATATGTGTCATCGTATCTTCTTATGATTTTGATGACGTTCACCCTTATTTATCTACCGCAAAGTGCTGCAGACTGCAGTACCACGGTCACAATTGGTATCATCGTATCTCGTTGATACTTAGAAATGTAAAGTATTACGAGATATATTTAATACGAATTTTTTCAAGTGGTACCATACTATCTCTCTCGATGTGCGTATTTTCAATATCTTTTAATATAATTAGTGTAATACTGTTTCTCTTCTATTTACATTAAAAACGTCTTTAAAAACATTAATTAACTTTACTCACGATACTTACAGTGCTAGCCTAAAATTGGATCTAATCTTGGTTTCTTAGAATATACTATGGATGACGAGCTTGAAGATAGAATCTTATATCAGGTAATTTCTAGAAAATTATATCTCGCGTATTGATTACGTTTTTTCTTTAATTTCATATAACAATATGTTGATTAATAATATATGAGATTATTATTTTACATTTTATTTTATTACTACGTTTTAACTTTATTACTGAATATTTTTTTATCCGATGTAATGTCCGAAAATTTTTCTAATTTATTTAAACAATAGGAGTCAATGGTCAATTAATTCCAATACAAAATATATTAATATTTATTAATAGTTATATAATTTATATCAAAAGAATATATGATATTATGATATTGATATACATAATTTATTATTTAAAGATATTTGTCCTTTTTAGACTTACGTGTCTCATATGAAACTGATGTCAAAGTTTACAGTGGGTATTCCAGCTGTCTTAAATGCTGCTGTCAATACACCATTAGGTTATTTTTGGAGAATCATGAGAATCTATGCTTTTAAACCAGAGGTATTAATTTGCTGCACACTTTTAGCAGTAATGCTTCTCTATATACAAGCTGTCGATCCTTGGAGTAGAATGCTATTCGATAAAATTCAATATACTCTAGGACGTACAACATCTAAGGTATTATAATCATTATTAATGTGATAAAATGTTATATCGATATGAATAAATTTTTTATATAATTCGATTAGGTTTCAAAATTACAATTTCTTGTCAATGATTCTGTAAATAATGGAGTAAAACTTAGCTGGGAATTAAAACAAGGGAATATAGCAGCTTATGCTGTTCAAGGTCATAGAGCTCGCATGGAAGATCGCTTTGTGGTAAATGAAAATTTAAATAATACCGGTGTATCCTTGTTTGCAGTTTTTGATGGTCATGGAGGAGAGGTAAGTTTTAATCCTTTTAAAGACAAAGAGCACACATATCATTTTCAAATTAATAATTTAATTTTATTTTTAGTTTGCCGCAAATTATGCTCGTGATAAACTTATTCCAAATATAAATAAAAAGGTGATAGAGCTAAAGGATATGATAGCTGGTAGATTTTCTGAAATACAAAAAAATAATCAAATAAATAATCGGCCAACATTTCAATCTGAAAATAAAAAAGATGAAAAAACAGACCCAACCACAATTGAACGTAAGAAATCTTTTCGTAAAACTGTTAGTACTTCGATAACGGATGATTGTATGAAAAATAGTGTTGGCGTTACTGATCCAGAATTATTGGATAAATTAGATAGTCTATCACGGCCAATCACAAGGGAGGTATGACGATTATAAATCTTTTCTTAACAAGAAAGAACTTCAAAGAAATGTAATTGTTTATTTTGCAATGTAAAAATTGTGTTATATTTATTTGCCAGGTAAGGCCTTGTAGATCAGGTGAGACTCAACCTGAAATTGATATGACAACCTATTTAGATGGAGATAAAATAAATTATGGTAGACTATTAACCGATGAAGTTTTGGCAGTAGATCGGTTATTAGTTAAAGCAGCTAAAAAAAACATGGATGTAGCAGGTAAAAAAGTTTGTTCCTCATTTTGTATTATTATTAGATATTAATATTTCATATTTTAAAGTTAAATCTCTCTCTCTCTCTCTCTTTTCTCTTTTTATAATATAGGTACCACTGCTCTAATCGCACTTTTAGAAGATAATAAATTAGTAGTAGCAAATGTTGGTGATTCTAGAGGTGTAATGTGCGATGGAAAAGGCAATGCGATACCTTTATCATTTGATCATAAACCACAACAGGTGTTTATAAATCCTCATCTTTAATGTACGTTTTATATTATTTTTCATTGAATCGTACGTTTATATTTCATTTAGGAAAGAGAGAAAAAGAGAATATATAAAGCTGGTGGATTGGTGACATTCAATGGAGTTTGGAGAGTTGCTGGTATATTGGCAACATCTCGAGCTTTGGGAGATTATCCATTGAAAGATAAAAAATTAGTGATAGCAGATCCAGACATCTTAACATTTGATCTAAGCGATCACAATCCTATGTTCCTTGTTTTGGCATCTGATGGATTATGGGATACTTTTACAAATGAAGAAGCTGTAGCATTTATCAAAGAACGTATAAACGAGCCACATTTTGGTGCAAAAAGTATTACATTACAAAGTTATTACAGGTAATGTATCAACAAAGAACATACATTTTTTCAACAAAATTATAATCAAAGATCTTTTCAATCCATTTTCATTAATAATAAAAAAAGAAATCAATGTTATTATACAATGTATATTTATACAAATTTTACAGGGGATCTTCAGATAATATCACAGTAGTTGTAATCGACTTACGAGATAAGAAATATAATGGAACAGAATCAAAAAGGAATCAGTAATTACTATCTCAACTGTTTCCAAAGTATTATATGATAAAACTTCCTAATGTTGTTTTTCCAACAACTCTTCTAGTCATTAAATTCAATTTAATATTTGAATTTATGAAAGCGAAGAGAAAGAATGGGTATATTATTACCACAATATTGTGATTTCACCAAATATGATATTTGAGAGATTATTAATGTGTAAAATAAGAGATTATTCATTTTTGTTATCAATTTTCATTTGTTATTATTATAATATATATTGTAAACTATATTTTTTCTTGCACGTGCCTTATTTCTTGGCTGTGTAATTTTCAAACATGCTTTGAGCATTCTTCCATCTCTTTAGCTTGTATAACTTATAATGACTGATTTTTGGTTATTTAAAAAAAGAAAACGAAAAAAAAAAGAAAAAGAAAAGAAAAAACAACATATGGAACTTGTTTCCTTTTTTAAATCCATTTTATGTGATAAGTGTGAAAAGTGAACATTGTTAATTATAAAAGTATTTATCCCGTCAATATGACGTTAAATGTTTTGGGATTTTGATATAACACATTTAAGATGTTAAATTTTTTCATATATACACATGTAAATACATGTATATATACATATATATATATATATATATATATATATATATATGTATATGTATATGTATATGTACATATACGTACGAGAAACATTAAATACGTGTAATAAAAAAGTTATTGGAAATATTAATCATTTTTAAATAAAATAAAATTTTTAACAACACGTGACAAAATATATTTCTTCCAAATATTTTTAATGAAAGCCACATACATTATATTTATTTTAAATGCAAAAATTTTTAATTCGAATTAATATGCGCGTTATGTATCAAAGTAACTCTAATATCTATCTGTCATTTTAAGTTGAAATGTCCATCAGAATTGTTATATAATATATGACGAATTAATAAGTTTATGAGAATACATTATAAAATTTTAATGAGAAGAATAGTTATTTTTTTATCAAATATATCGGATGAACTTTCTAAATGTATAAGCAGCGCGATTTATACATGTAAGTATGTATATATGATTTGATATAAGCAATCATTTAAACATACATGTGAAGAAATGTAATACCAACAACAGAATAATAATGTAATATCTTAATACTTATTTTGTTAACATATTAATAAAAATGATAATATATAAAATTTACTTTATAATGAACGTACATATATGAAAACATTGTACATAATTAATTATGCGAGATAATATTTGAAAATCATCTATATAAATTCATTTGAACATTACGAATTCTTCTCTATGTTGAACATATTTATAAAGCATTATTATATTTTTAAAAATGTATCCACAGAATGTATAAGCAAGAAATTCTAATTTCATTTATCTCGCTTGCTTTTTCTGGAAATATTTATAATTTTATCGAAAAACAATATATGTCACGCCAGCGTGTGTATGTGTGATGGATGTGCCTAAAAATGTATCCAATAAAAATCAGCAGAATAAAATATCGCTATGTATTCAATGTATAGTTTCTATATAAAGCATTGTATGTTGAAGAACATGGTGGTATATTTTTTCTTTTTCTTTTTTATTTTTTTTTCAAAATTTTCAAGAATATACTTTTCAAGAATAGTTTACGAATACCATCATTTTTATAAATTGTGTAATCTTATTTATTTATCAAGTAATAAGACGATAAATTGTTTTTCATTTAGTTTCTTATAAAAAACATTTTCTTAGTCAATATTTATATATGATTTACTGTATTATATATATATATATATATATATATATATATATATATATATATATATTTTATATATATATATATCAGTTCTACAATATTATTCAAATATAAAACTGATAAGAAATGTTCTACTAATGTTCCTGAAGAATCTGTATTTTATATTATTTTCTTGTAAGAGATATTATAATTCAACATTTTAACTTTGCACTATAAAGAGATTTATGTAAATATAATGATTGAATAGTTATAGTATCTCAATTTCCATTCTGTGTGTAACTTGCTCTTCTAAATCTTTTATGTGTATATGACATATTTATATATGTGAAATATTATTAAATTTGTAAAGATTAAATTTTTTTATAAATATCTTCACATATAATAGAAAGACATATTTAGTTTCAAATCATTTAAATCAGATTATAGTAGTAAAATAATAGTAAATTGTTACGTTGAAATCCACACGAAAAACAATATAAGAATTTTTTTATAAGAAATAAAATTAAATCTTTTAAGTCGATTACTTGTTGTTTCGTATATTAAGTGTCAACCAAGTAACTCAAAGTCTTCATCAGATGTATCATATTGACGTTCTATATGTTCAAAATCTAAAACTATAATAAACCAATATATTAAAGTGTCTAAAAATTAACTTAAGTAATCAATTCTATATTAACTTACAATTAGTAGCTCCTATTGCCTCAGATACTACATCTTCAGCCGGTGACCAATTAACTAATCTCTCTGAAGATAATTCAAATAATGGTTGTTTCTCAGGCTCTAATAATTCATCTTGCATAGTTTTACACATAGATTTAAAATCCTTTTCTGTAGCACAGAAAAAGCACTATAACAGAAATAATATATTTCCAATTAACATTGTATCTTATATTTTGTTACATTGCACAATGAATTACATGGTTATACTTACAAGTGCTACGGAGGGATCAATTTCTGTAATAGAAATACGACTAGCAGACTTGCAGTGATATGTGAGATCTATTTCTCTCTCATTGTCAATATTAGCTGAACGCTGTGTCGTATGTGGATCCAAATAAATCACTTCATCTCCTAGAATATCATAACTTTGGTTTATTATTTATTACTCAAAAAGACACAACAATATTTTGTTAAAAAAAAAAAATATATATATATATATATATTAACGTTATATCGTATACGTACCAACACAGCCAATAAAATACAAAGCAAGATTTGGTTTTCCACCGATTACTCCTAGAGATTGTGGTATCTTGAATGAAGTCTAAAAAATGATATGCTCAATTTGAATATCTTTCTCTTTCAAAGATATAACTTCTTCTTTGGTTGTTCATGCAAGTATTACTATTATTTTTATATTACTTTAAGTCCATTGAGGTAAACAGGATTAATTTCATTCAAACCAAGACGAAGTGGTATTAATAATAATAAAGGCTTCCATTGGCTCGGTGCTTTCAATGGTTCTTTACCATCTACTTCAACTGTTGTACCACCTTCCACTTTACATTGTCTTACTGTAAATGATAAATAAATGTGAATTAAAATATGATAAGCTTCACATTGCAATTTACTTACAGATATCATTAACTATTAAAGCATTATCCAAAGCTACATGTATTGTAATAGAGCTCCATTCATCGTACACAACCAATTTTCTAAAATAATATAATGAGAAAAAAAATCATAATTAGTTTATATTGTTAATATTTTATTGATGCGTGATTAAAAAAATGTATACTTTAATACTTGTGCAATGGTATTTGGACCAAACCATTGTCCGACTTCTTTTCCTTCTGACGCTCCCATTAACGCTATTTGATGAATGGAGAAAGGAGCAGCTCTCTTATCTTCAAAGCGTTTCAATATTTCCAGGTACGTCATATTTTTTGTTTCTGGTGTCCAACGCCAATCTCTGCCTATTATCATTGAATTTTTAATAATGTTAAATTGATAAAAAAATATAATTAAAATAATATCACATCATAAATGTATTACCTAAATGTAAAAAGACTAAAGCTTGACCAAGAACCATTTGTCCGCATCTTAACATACAGCCCCATCCTTTGTCAGTTGTAAATGTAGAATTATAACCACCGATGGGAATGAAACCTCTACGGTAACTAAACCATAACTTGGATAAGATATCTTTACGTATTGCTTCTAATTCTGAAATACAATGTTAATCCATCTATTGTCAATGATTATACGTAATTATTATATATTACAACATATATATATATATATATATATACCTGTTAAAGCATGATATTTCTTTCCAAGAATCCAAACAGGTTGATCTATTTGGGGTATATCTTCTAAATCATCGCATATATTTTGCGTAAAAAGGCTATCCATTCTTACAATGTAACAAGTATTAACTTGTAACAAGTTAACTTGTGAAATGCATTAGCAAAACCTGATTAATCGCAATACATAGATTGTATAAATGTAAACAAAAGGAAAGTTCTTAATATGTCACGATAAAATACGTAAAAATAATATTTTAATGAAAGGAGAGAAAGGAAAAAAAAAAAGGAAAAACTTACTTTTAGTAGAAAGAAAACATTGGTCATGGTACTTCCCAGGACATTGTATTCCCATCAAAAAATGTGACAAGGACTAACATGCGAATTTATTGAAATATTAACAAAGAAATTAATGTGAGAGCTCTTTAAGATTTTTATACCTTATCAGAAAATACGTCTCGGATGTGTTGCAAACAAAATTTTCAACTTAAATGATGATTAAGACAATGAATAAACGATATGTAAAATTAATTAAATAAATCTTATTAATAATTCCTTTATACTTATTTCTATACTAAATGTACATGCACAATTTCCAATATAATGATTCATAAAATATCTTCGAGATGGCTAAGATGGAAATCTTCTGTAAAACATTACGCGCTTTCTAGGTGTATGCAATGTACTATTGAAATTCTGACGTTTTCCGACAGATGGTGACGTTCGTCAATCCTTGCACGTGGTTCGTTATACCACGTGACCGTAAACTTTTTCATATCCCCAATAACTGCTCTTGGCGGGTCATAACGATCTGTGCTACTAGGATTTTATCAACGTAATTTTTCATTGGTAAAGTACAATTTTATTTAACAGATTTATATATTCTTCGTTCTTTTTTTTTTTTCTTTTCTTTTCTATTATATTCATTAAAAAAAAACCTAACTAGAAAATTATTTAATTAATAAAATCTCTAAGGAATATTTGATATAACGATATTATATACGTAACTACTTTAAATACATTTGTCGTCCTCTGCATTTATTCCGCTCAGTTGGCTTGAAGAACAATTTTCTTTCATGAATCAAGTTCAATTGTCTAACGGAAATGTATATACGCATTGATATTTTTACAAATATTTCATTTGTTTTTTCTTTTTCATTCTTTTTTTTAATTGTAATAATTATGAACAAAAATGTTTAATCGCAAGATTTATATATATATATAAATAAAAGAAAAGTTATAAATAAATAAGAAAAAAAAAAGAACAAAAAAAAATTATATTATATTGTACTGTTGCAACTCACATTGATACAGTTCATTTTTATAGAACAAATATCTGTAATATTCCATGGCTACGACTTTCACAAATCTATCATCCTTTTGGTAGACACAATTACGTACATATATATATATGTATATGTATATAACAGATTTCGCCGTAAACTTAATGTGTTACGCGTTTTTTTATTCGAGTAAATGTTCTAAAAAAGAAAACGTGATTTAAGGCTTTCCCGACCGAAAGACGTACATAATATGAAAGATTAAAAGTTATTGTAAAAGAGATTAGACTATCTGTCACACCTTTTTTAGTTGGATTAAACCGAAGATAAACCTTTTATAAAGATAAGTAATTGATGTACCTTCATAAAATATATATATGCGTAGCTTAAATATTTATGAGATCGCGAATAGCAAACCTACAGTATATGCCACGGAACACAAAGTGAAAGTCTTAAGTTTCCTTGTTGAACCTTCTTAGCTGAATCAAGAACAAGTTAGTCTTCGGTCGATTGTCTCTTTGGACGGTTCTATGCATGTATGTATATATATATATATATATATATATATATATATATATATATATGAATGTGTGTGTGTATATATATATGTATATATATCTACCTATTAAAAAAAGATAAAAAACAAAAAAAAAATTAAACAATTTGTGATCAAATTTGTGAAACAATTAACTCTTATTTTTATTCATTCATCTATATTTATTCGTAATAGTAATCGATAATCATGAATATATTAATATTGATGTGTTTAATTTGATAAGATATCTATACAGCTGTTATGGGTATATGTATGTATATATATATATATATATTCATATCCTTGAAATATTTGTGAAAGAAAGAAAGAGGGAGAGAGAGAGAGAGAGAGAGAGAGAGAGAGAGAGAGAGAGAGAGAGAGAGAGAGAGAAAGATAAACGAAATAATTATATCATTAATGAAAAATTCTACATACTTATATCTATATTGGAACATTGATGAAAAGAAAAGAGAAAAATGAATGGAGAGAGAGAGAAAGAGAGAGAAAGAAGGAGAGATAGATAAATAAATAAAAAAAAAGATATCAATTTGAAAATTCCTCTTGAGTGTCAAATTAAACTGATCTCAAAATAATTCAATAAAATTCAAATTCGTTAATACCTTCTTTCGATAAATGACACGGGATCTTTTTTTATTTATTTATTTATCTTTTTTTCCCTCTCCTTCCATAATTTTAATACGTAATCGAATAATGTATAGGAAAATTATTGGTGAGAACGATAAGTACGATTTATGTTTTCTTACTTTATGTTTTCTTTTTCTTTTTTTTTTTTTTCTTTTGTATATCATTTGCGATACATAATTTACGATAGGTGCGTAGTAAAAAAGAAATATATGATCGTATTGTATATATATACTTTTCAAACTTACTGATATCTTCGAATATGTGTACGAAAGAATCTTATGAAACGGTACTTTAAATAAATCATTCATACACGTCCACGGAATTGTTTTTTTTTGCGTAATAGGTATTATAAATAATTGAAATAAGCGAGAGAGAGAGAGAGAGAGAGAGAGAGAGAGAGAGAGAGAGAGAGAGAGAAGGAAGGAAAATAAAGATATATATATATATATATGAAAATGTCATACAAGAGAATTTCTATGGACACTAGTGTTCTCGAAAAATTAATTCCAACGCATTCCGACGAGGTATTATTGAAATTTTTATAGAAAAGTAGAATAATATTTGGCTTTCGTGTTAATTAGAAAGAAAAAAATATATTGAATATTCATAAGCGTAGGTATTCATTTTCAAAACGAAAAGTTTCACTTTTAATATTTGTAAGATAATTTCGCACATATGTATGTATGTTATATGAATACGAAAATGTATTTCAATTATTTTCAAATAAATATGCGCATATATTAATGATTTTTTTTACATATACATAAATATATATATATATATTTATTATATATAACGTGTTTTTATTAGGATACCATGGAGGAAAAAAAAGCGAGGGAAGAAACAACAACGAAAGATACAGGATACGGAACGTAAGTAATTATATCGATGTCGATTGTTTTAAAGGAAAATTTTTTAAAAGAGTCTAGTGTTTTTTATGAGATTTTTATGAGATATTATTTTTTTTCATTATTATTTTTTTCCTTTTTCAATTTTTTCTTCAAAGTGTCAAATACAAGGACGAAATCAACGAATCCTCGTGGAAATTTTGGAAGAAAAGAAGATACGTTGTGGCGATTTTAGCGTTTCTAGGATTTTTCACTTCTTATATACTTCGCGTTAATTTGAGCGTCGCGATAGTTGCGATGACTGAAGATAAGATCGACGAGAATGGAAAAATTTATCAGGTAAGTTCCATTGTTATGTTCCAAATAAAATATTATTACATATATCTTATAAGAATATTAAACGGCAATAATCATAAAAATAATTGTTTTAATAGAAAAAAGAATTCGATTGGGATTCGAAAACGAAAGGACTTGTTTTGAGTTCATTTTTTTATGGATATTTGAGTACCCAATTATTAGGTGGATGGTTGGCTGCTAGAGTTGGAGGTAAAAGAGTATTTGGTCTTGGTATTGCAGCAACAGCATTGTTTACTATCATTACGCCTCCTCTTGTTAGAGCAAGCGTATATATTCTAATCGTTTTACGTATTGTTGAAGGAATTTGTGAGGTAAATATTCTTCATTTCTTTTTACTCATATCTAATCAATATATTTCTAAATCCTACTATTTGTTCACAGGGTGTTACATATCCTTGCATACATGCAATTTGGGCTAATTGGGCACCCCCATTGGAAAGATCGAAATTAGCAACCTTGGCATTTTCTGGTAGCTTTTTAGGAACCGTTTTTGCTATGCCTGTTTCTGGTATAATGGCTGAACATCTCGGTTGGTCTTCAGTTTTCTACGTATTTGGAGCAATAGGGCTTATTTGGTTCTTTGCTTGGTGGATCCTAGTCAAAGATCATCCTGCAGATGATCCTAGAATATCTCAAGCTGAATTGGAATATATTCAAAATAGTATCGGTATTACCGTAAACAAAATGGTTAGTGCAAAAGTACTTTCTTTAAATTAGTTATCAATTCATAATTATTTTAAAAATATATATTTCAATATATTTTAGTATATAATTTATATATTATCTCAATATTGATTTTATTCGTCTGTCAGTTTAATATATATTAATTATTTATATTATCTTTATAGAAAGTAAAACATCCGTGGAAAGCTATGTTGAGTTCTCCACCTGTTTGGGCTATAGTCGCTGCTCATTTCAGTGAAAATTGGGGATTTTATACCATGTTAACCCAATTGCCAACATTTATGAAGGGTCAGTATAATCATCCGATTGTTTTAACCTTTTTACGTATCATATGATTTCTACGATATTAATTTTGGATATTATTAGACGTCCTCAAATCCGAATTGGAAGCAACCGGTTTTATGTCTGCTCTTCCTTATTTGGCGATGACCATAGTCGTTCAATGTTCCGGTCAACTGGCTGATTATTTGAGAACAAAAAATCTTTTGACGACTACTCAGGTATTTCTGCGGATTTGTAATCGGATCTATTGTGAAAAGATGACGAATAAAAAAAAAGAGAAAAAAGGCGAACATCGGTAACAATTACTTTGTTTTGTATCCTAGGTTCGTAAAATATTTAACTGCGGTGCATTTATCTTTCAAACAATCTTTATGATCTCTACTGCCTTTATCTCGACTAAAGTAGGAGCAGTTATCTGTATCACCATAGCGGTTGGCCTTGGTGGCTTTGCTTGGTCTGGCTTTGGGTAATTTTTAGAATTCAATTTTATATATATTTCATATAATTTATACATTTAAATGTATCTACCGATAATAAACCGTTCAATATTTTTTATTCATTTATAGAGTCAATCACTTGGACATTGCTCCAAAACATGCCAGTGTTTTAATGGGAATAGGTAATACAATTGCAACATTACCAGGCGTCGTGAGTCCCATTATTACTGGATACGTCGTTCAAAATAAAGTGAGAGTTTTTAGATTATATATAATTCATTAATTATAAATATAATTATAAAGCATTTTTGAGACTAACTATGTTTAATGTTTATTTTAGAGTGCAACAGAATGGAGGACAGTATTTATTATTGCTGGTTCAGTGTATCTCATAGGTGCTATAATTTATGGTATTTTTGCATCCGGTGAAAAACAAAGTTGGGCCGATGATACTTCGAAAAAACAAGGCGAAGAAGTAGTTTATGATAATCCAGGATTAGAAATAGATAATTTATAATTAATAAATATTTTAATGAAAAAAACAAATTAAGATAAATTATAATTAATAATGATCGAAAGAATCATTTGACTGTAATTATATATCAAACATATAGACGATTTTATATAAATTGATAATGTATTATATTATTATTATTATTATTAATATTATTATTATTATTATTATTATTATTATTATTATTATTATTATTATTAATATTATTATTATTATTATTATTATTATTATTATTATTATTATTATTACTATTATTATTATTATAGAAATTTCTGTGATACACTCGTGTAACGTAGGTTTTTCTTTGTAAACATTATTTATCTTCCAAAATTTTGTGTAAATAAAAAAATATATCTCAATAAATGATATATAAGAAGTAATATTATCGACAGTCGGTATAGTTACTAATTCGTATGATAGACGGCACTGTAATATCATTCTAAATAATGCTATAATTATACTCGGACAATCGTAAATTCAAATGAGAATATTCGATAAATATATCGAATGTTCGATATCCTAATCGATTTAGTTCGATATAATATTCTATCTCGCTATGGTTGGATCTTCGAGTTATCGCATTTATATATGGTATGAGATTAACAGTAGTGAAGAGATGTAGGTGGATTGACAATTCTAGTATTATATCTCTTGTATTTGCTGCGACGTATAGAGAAAGAGAGAGAGAGAGAGAGAGAGAGAGAGTCTTGTGTTAAAAGTTATTGAAATTATCATATTGATACATTGATAACACTGATATCGTTGTTCGTGATACTAGAAAATCTTCATAAAGCGTAATGTTATAGGAAAATGAGACGTCGTTATTAACTTGTGCGTCATAATTTTTAATTAATGGTATGTATTTATTTGATCACCATAAAATGTATATTCAAATGCTTTTTTTACTTCTTAAATATTTTTTTTTTTTTTTTTTTTTTTTTTTTTGAAGTAACAAATGCATGGGAATAAAATCTTTATTTTTTTTCCAGATTTCCGTGTTAAGGCATAACTCAAAACCGTGTTAGACAGAACTTAAAATTGTTTTCCATTGCGGCCTTAACAACTTTCATATATGTATGTATATCGCTATGAACAACAACGACAACTGGATATTTGTCACCAGTTGTCAAAAAGATCATCATCGTCGTCAAGAACGCGAGATGATTCAAATAATCGATTTGGGTGAAGGACTATCGAAAAGATACTAGCAATAAAGTGTTAAGTTGTTCTCATCAATATGGCGGCGAATCTCGAGGAAGAGCAAAGTTTACGCGAGTGTGAGGAATACGTTCAAAGGCATAACATTCAACAAGTTTTAAAAGATTGTATAGTGCAACTCTGTGTGGGCAGACCTGAGAATCCAATATCGTTCTTGAGAGAATATTTTCAAAAATTGGAAAGGGTATGTATCAGAAATGATCTTAATCTTCAATTTCTTAACCTTATATATAAAGTAGATTTTTAATAACATGATTGTTTTAAAACAAGAACATTAGAGAATAATATTAGATAATCAATTAGATAATACAGATTATGTATTCTCTTAAACAATTCAACGTGTTGTTAAAAAAATTATATTACAAATTATTAATTTGTTAATCTTAACTTAGGAATTAATTTTTAAACGATATTAAAAGTATATCGACAAAAGATATATATATATATATATCATATTACCAATGACTATACTTGTTCGTATAAACTATCAGAAAATGTTAAAAACTTGATCTTTTTTATAAATTTTTACATTGCTTCAGAATATGTACACATAATATATAGAGTTTCAATGAACATTCAAATACTACATACTAGTGACGACATATATGTAAAATATCTAAATTTTGTTCTCTTTTGTTATGAAAAAAGATAAACTTATGATAAATTCAATCATTACAAAAAAAAAGAAACAAAAAAAATACAAGAATCCTAATTAACATAGAAGACAACGTATTTAACAACATATTTAACAACGTATGCAAACAAAAGAAAAACATTTTTAAAAAATAAAAAAAGAAACATATGTATCATAAAAACCTGACCTTACTGCATATTATCATTATCGCAACATATAATGGAAAATAAAATTATTAGCCGGACTAAATATTGATAAGACCTACGTCACGCGTAAGTCATTTGGTACGTTCAATGTTAATTTCCCGCTATATACTAACAGCCTTGCAAAAAGTATATACGATTCTTTTTTATACGTCATCAAAAACATATCTTGATCGTAGAGTATAGTAATAATGGATAGAGAAGGGTTGGAGTAGGGATTTGGTAGGAAATTGGTACGGTGCGATAACGATGACGTAAAATCACGGCCATGACGACATCGAGCGAAAGGTGCGCGAGCGACCTCAGCGCATTACATATATCACAACAGCAGATAGGCAGACAGACAGACAGACAGAAAGTAGCACCAGCATGGACACATACAAACACAGAGATGAATTTAAAAGAGCAAAAGCTGCTATCCTGATAAAGAAGGTTATTATTTATCCCTCATAGGTACATGCGTTCATAAGAGAAGGAAGCAAAATATATGAGAGAGAGAGAGAGAGAGAGAGAGGGTGAGAGAGAGAGAGAGAGAGAGAGAGAGAGAGAGAGGGTGAGAGAGAGAGAGAGAGAGGAAAGGTTGAAGCTTCGCGCGTAGATGAACACAATATGAGAACAGAAGAAATTAGGTGGGGGTAATAAAAGATCAACCTAAAGAGAGAGAAAGAGAGAGAGAGAGAGAGCGAGAAAGAGAGTAGAGGGGGAAATGGGGTGGATATAGGGATGGTTAGTCGAAGGATAGTGGAAGAGTAAGGTAAGCATGTTGTACAGGGGCCACGGATCTAAACATAGCATATGCTCGAAATATAACGAGGCAGAACCTTAGCCAGGAGGCAGCACGCAAACGTAACGCATACACACACACACACACACATACACATCGACATTGGTTCTCCAAAAATTTGGAAACTAAGGGGAGAGAGAGAGAGAGAGAGAGAGACAAGGAGAGGGGAGAAAGAGAGAAAGATCAAGACATCGAATACGATGTTTAGTTCGTAGAAATCCGTTGATAAATTAAATGCTCGATCAACAACGTGTATTGCTAGTTAAGCAGCTAGCTAGCTAGCTCGCTCGTTGATTCTCTACGTTCTCACTCTCAATCTAGAAATACGATTTTACTATATAACGAGAAAGGTGGAGAAAAAGAGACAGAGAGAAAGAGAGAGAGAGAGAGAGAGAGAGAGAGAGAGAGAGAGAGAGAGAGAGAGAGAAAAGAAAGAGAGCATCCGTGTCGCCGCCGTAGCGGAAAAACAAGTAGCGCGGGATCGAGCATCGTGTGTTTGTAGGGTCATCGGTTAATCAGATTCAGGGAGGCCTTAGAAGGTAACGCGCGAGAGAAAAAGTACCAAGTGAAACGTCAATCTACGACCAGTCTACAACGATCGAGTATTAACCTATCTCTTCTTCTTCTTCTACTACTTTTTATTTTTTTTATTTTCTATATTCGATATAGGAGATATAGATTTTCTACGATTATTTATTTATATATTTTACATTTCTTTTACTTTCTTTTTTATTTTTCTTTTTTCTTTTTGAAAAAACTTCATTTTCATTTTTAAGTATATGCGCGCGACGCGTAACGAGTTACCGCGGTACATCTTTCAAAGATCAACGTAGTACAAAAGAGAGAGAGAAAGAGAGAGAGAGAGAAAGAGAGAGAGAGAGAGCGCGCACGCTATTCGACTGAATCTCGTTTATATTCTTACGTGCCGAAACCAAAAACGACAGGGAGAAAGATAGAGAGTGGGAGTAAGAAGGGGTGAGAGAGAGAGAGACGCATAAAGGATGAATCACCAGGTACGTGTGATGTCGTCTTTTAAAAGAAAATATACAAAAAGAAAAGAGAGAGAGAGAGAAAGAGAGAGAGAGAGAGGGAGAGAATATTATATATATATCAATAAGTTCGAAGAAATTTTCGTATGTTTTTCTTTTTTCTTTTCAAATCGATAAACCTATTGGAACGTTTGAAAAAAGTGCGGGGTTTATTTTCTTTTCTTTTTCTTTTTTTTTTCTTCTATCTTTCTTTTTCATTCTTACAAATTGACATACATTTTTACGTCTTTTGTTACTTGCCATTTTTCTGTTATGTTAAAACCTTTTTATCATATGTATTAAAATATTCGTAAGAAATCAACAATTATTTAATTTTCATTAAAGCATCATTATATGTATACCCGATATTAATGTTTATAAAAGCACTCGTGCATGACAACGCCAACTGACCTATGCCATTATTCGTTAACCTCCCCTTCCCGCGACGTCCCTTTGTACTTCGTAATATTGTTCACATTATATTATTTAATCTTTTAATGATAAACATTAGAAAAAGAAGAGAGAGAAATAGTAGAAAGAATGGCCTAATTTTTACTTTAAGATGGAATTATTTTTTATCGTATCCTTTATTAGGAAAAGAAAAAAAAATTATGATCTTATAAAATATTTGTTACATTAAATTTTAATATTTTATGATTTAACGTTGGTAGGAGTGGAATAATAGAGGGAAATGATTTTTAGGTTAATAAGTTTTTAGGTTAAAACAGACTTTAAGATATAATTTTTAACTGTTACAAATCTTATTCGTTATTAAATTTTAGAATCTAATTATAAAAGAAATTATAATGTTATAAACATTAGAGAGAAGATGATTTTTAGGTTAATAAAAATTTTTTTGTCCTCCCCCTTTTCCCCATAGATCTTAAAAATATCATGATTTTAATGTATGAATTATGAAATTTAATAGGAACAAGCTCATGATGCTAAACAGCAAATCGCTACGAGTCCCGAGGACACGGAGGATATGCCTGCCGGTCAACAAGGACCACAAGTACCAAGACGTCGTGGTGGTATCTCGGCAGAGCCGGTATCAGAAGAAGATGCTACTAGCTATGTTAAAAAAGTCGTACCGAAGGATTACAAAACAATGGCTGCTTTGAGCAAAGCTATCGCTAAGAATGTTCTCTTTGCTCATCTCGATGAAAATGAACGATCTGATATATTCGACGCTATGTTTCCCGTTACCTTTTTACCTGGAGAAGCGATAATACGTCAAGGTCAAGTTCTAATGCACATAATATATATAGGGTGGGTCAAAAGTTCCTAGGCTTGTAGTCTTACAAACAAAAAAAATTAATCTGAAAAGACTTGAAAAAGAATAATTGATTTTTAAAATCACCTAGGTACTTCTGATCCACCCTGTATACATATGTATATATATATATACGCTTATAAGAAAGAGAGAAAACCTCTCTTTCTATTATTTATTTCTCTAAGGTCGTATATATATATATATATATATATATATATATATATATATACATATATACATATGTAGGTTTTGCTTGAATTTATTGATTTTTTTTTGTCTTCCTTAAAGGTGACGAAGGTGACAACTTTTACGTAATTGACCAAGGCGAAGTAGAGATATTCGTTAATGGTGAATTAGTAACGACGATTGGAGAAGGTGGAAGTTTTGGTGAACTTGCATTAATCTATGGGACTCCACGTGCCGCTACAGTTAGAGCAAAAACTGACGTTAAATTATGGGGTATAGATAGGGATTCCTATCGTCGTATTTTAATGGGTTCGACGATAAGAAAACGAAAAATGTATGAGGAATTTCTTTCTAGAGTCTCGATCTTAGGTACATTGTTTCTTTTTTTTCACCATCCCCATCTTTATTTATATTAATTTCTAATAAATGATAGGAAGTATGTATAAAACTATTGAGATAATATTCTTCTTTTATTTATAGAATCTTTAGACAAATGGGAAAGACTCACAGTGGCCGATGCCTTAGAACCAGTTGCGTTTGATGACGGAGAAATGATAGTAAGACAGGGTGAACCTGGTGAAGATTTTTATATCATTGTTGAAGGAACTGCTGTAGTCTTACAACAACGCTCGGAAGGAGCGGAACCCCCTGAACCTGCAGAAGTAGGTCGTCTGGGTCCGTCCGATTATTTTGGTAATGTTTTTTTCACATTATAATTATTACTACTTTATATATATATGTGTGTGTGTGTGTATACTAATATGTGTAATAATAAATGATTAATAGGGGAAATAGCATTATTACTGGATCGACCAAGAGCAGCAACAGTCGTAGCTAGGGGTCCCTTAAAATGCGTCAAATTAGACAGAGCCAGATTTGAACGTGTCTTAGGGCCGTGTGCTGACATTTTGAAACGCAACATTACTCAGTATAACAGTTTTGTATCCCTTTCGGTATAAATTCAATCTGCAAGAAAAAAACCATACAGATCATATCGATTCCAATTTTTCAGACACTATGCTTCAACAACAACAACAACAACAACAACAACAACAAACATAATGTTGACATTTTTTCTATTTCGTTAATGCTTCATTTGTTAAAATGCATAATATATGTCGAGTATTATTAATATACATAAATATTGTATATCATTAGGAAAGGAAAAACAACAAAAAGAAAAAAAACCTTAATATATAAGATTATTATAACGCACTATATATTAGTTAGCGACTCATCAACGCGTAATCATCTGGTTATCTCATGTAAACTGTGTTCCTACAAAGTGCTCATGTTTTTTTTTAACTGTTGTCAAAAAATTTCTATATTACTGTTTATTGTTTTCATTTGAAAATTTGTATTCTATGATAAGCATACGTTATATTTATACGTACGTCTCCATACAGTATTATTACTTTTGTAATATCATAAATCTTGATGGATAATGGTTTGTAACAATGTCGCTGGTCGACAGTGGTAAAAATGTTATAGTATTCAAATGAGTATATAGAATTTGTCAATGGTGTGTGTTAAATGATAGATAATTTCAACATATTCTTTTTCGACTTAAATATTCTTCATTGCACTGCATTAATATAATATTTCCATAAATATATGAAGACATATAAATATATCGATTTATTATTTATTATAACAGGATTGATGAGTGATTAAACGAGTCGCGATCTATGATTGAAAGTGCGTTTATTAGATTTGATTTATCAATAACACAAAATGTTCGGAAAATTAAATAATTTATTATGCACAACATTATACATGTATTTTATCTTACAATTAAATATCTAACACCCACCCCACCCGACCCGATTTGAAAATCTCACAGATTTTCTTTAACGTTAAGAAAAGTGTTTTAATTTCTTAATCGGGCAACGAACTGACGTATGTTTACCTCTTTGCACTAAATATTATAAAACTAGAACTTGGTTGGTTCGCAGAAGATAGATATATACAAATGTCCAGCATAAAAAAAATGATATTAAAGTTTATTCTCGCGGATGTGATCTTCTTTTGAGTATTTACTTTTTTTTTTTATTTTTATTTATTTACTTTTTTTTTCTTTTCTTTTTTTTTTTATTTTTTTTTTTTTTATTTTTTTTTTTTTTTTTTTTTTTTTTTTTTTTTTTTTTTGCTAAAAAGAAACTGTAGCCTCCATCTCCTCATTGTATCCTATATTGATCTTCTTGCATCGAAAATCTCAATCACCACTCATTTTTGTATGTTTATAGTGCTGATGTCTTCGAAATTTCATGATTTTCTTCTACCTTCCCATAGAGAATATTCCATGAGAAAACACTTGTCAAATTGAAGATATCCATTTATTGATCAGGCACAGAAACAATAGTTCGCCCAGACACATCAGATTAAAATCTTCAGAAATTTGTTCCTCTTCATATAATTCGTAGTTTTGTCCTTATAAAAAGTGTGTAGCAAAAAGAATGATTTACTACACGTTTACCAAGAATTCGAAGAATTCATTGTAATACCTGGCACCAGATAATAAGAAGAAAAATTTGATGGCTTATCTTTTAGCCGAACGATTGGAAATATGGAAGAAGAGAAATTTTTATGAAGAAAATAAGTTTCATGCCCTCTGACTGATTCTTCACAACTTTCGGTTTCATACCGACTTGGATTGAGATATATATATATATATATACATATATATATATATAAGATATTTTTTTATAGAAGTTATAAAACTATTCGATCTTTCTGGCTTTTCTCCTTCTCTCTCTCTCTCTTTTTTTTTTCTTTTTTTTATAATATCCAAACAACCAAACAATCATGACGAATTTTATATCCCCTACTCTCTCATAATTCATAACTCCAGAATTTTAATCTTTCATGCACACAACAATAATGCACAAATTCCTCGATGAATGTTTCAAGTAGTAAAACTTTGCTTGAGCTATAAACCATTCCCAATCGATGACAATGATTGGAAATTATTTAGAATTGGTTTATATCAGCTCTTTAAGCAAGAAAAATGTAATGAACCCGTATCAACTTTGGAATATATGCATATGCATATGGATGTGCAAGTAAGAAGTTACACATGCATATTATGTCAAATCAGGAAACATATGCATATACATATGTATGCACATAGAAAGTGCTTTTCGATTTAATTATTGCCATTTACGATTTATAGCGAAGTAGGCAAGAGAGACATTTTTTACCAACCACCTAGACAACCATTGCTTGTTTTACAGTCGATTAGACGCCGTTCAGGATCAGCATAAACCAATGTAAATTCACTGACAAATTCATAGAACTTGTCCAAAGATTCAAAGGCCAATTCTGCTACGATGAAATCAACCGCCAAATTTTGCCGGTAGCTAAACAGTAGAAGAAATACATACGTTAGACGAATAAATATACATATATATATATATACATATACATATGTATGCATGTATTTACAGATACACACATGTATGTATATATAGAACAATATAAAATATGAATAATAAATATATATATATATAAAAAAAAAAATTCAACTTTCAGCTGCAGTACCCTGTAACAGAAATCTTCATAATTATAATTTCACTTTCTCTCTTTCTACCTATCTATTTTTTAATTATGTTTACCTATATCATTAAATCTGTGTATTTTATACAATTTATATATATACATATACATAAAAATAATTTAATATAAATATATGTATATACATTTTTACTGTTATATTCAAGCTTCTACTTTTCAAAAAGTAGTTCAAAAATAATTGAAAAGTAATTATACTTGCAATTTCTAACTAAACATTTTTATTTCACAATTTAGTTAGAAATTGTTAGATTAAATATTGAAAATTAGGTAACATATAGATCATATAAAATATAATATTACTATCCTGTTGATTAATATCAAGATATACAATGATAAATAATCTGAAAATAATTTTTTACTTACGATTTTATCATTTGTTTCAAAGCTATCTTGCGTTCTCTAGCAGCGAACCAATCCATAAGAAAAGCAGCCATTCTTGGTGCGCTTCTATATAATTTGAATAAAGCATGAAAATTACCCAGCCACCAGGCTGAGCGAACTTTCAATGCATGTTTAATGCACTCATCTTTTTTGTCTTCTCCATTAAGTGATGCTAAAATCGTCGTCAAATCTGTAATAAAAAAATAAAAAAAAAATAAAAAAAAAAAATAAAAAAAAAAAAAAGAGAAAAAAAATTATATTAAAAAATTTCGTACGTATAGACACATTATGTAACATACATTACTGTTATATGATTCTCTATATTTACCTAAAGTATTTTTTGTAAAGATATAATACAATATACGGTACGCCACAAATTCGCATCGATTTTCACCGCCCACATCTTGATATAACATTCTTAATTGTGTTTGACATTGATTAAATTCTTCATGATCTCCACGTTCTAAAGCTACACGAGCGTGGGTTTCATAAACATGGACAGTAAACGCATCTCTGATACCTTGCACGGTAAGATCTTGTCGAATAGATTTTAATTGGTCACAAGCATATCTGTAGTCTTGTTCCACTACCCAACGATTCTTGACATAGGCCAACGAATTTTGAAGAACACTTACCGGTCGAATTGCAGATGGGGCTGGAGCCTAAAAGATTATACAGATGTAATTTTATTCTAACAATAATATTAGCATTTATATCTATAAAGATATATATATATATTATTAAAATGTCTTACCGATGTAAGGCGTAAATATGGTTTTTCTAAGTCCTTGCAAGTTCCAACGATGTGAAGTCCGGTGAAGTCAAACTCAGCGGTCGGATCATCTCTAATGCTAGTGTTGAATGTCCTAGAAATGGGATCGTTAAATCGTGCCGCACGTTGTTGAAGTTTCTCCTTGGATCCTAGTTCATCGCTATTGCCTGTAGCTAAACCAAACTCGGAATAGAAATGTGATTTTGTCTGCTTAGTCTTCTTGGTTTTCTTGTTGTTGTGATTTTGTTTATTTCGCGTTGATTTTTTCGTTTTCAACGATTTGCTGTCATATTCCCGATCGCTAACGTTAGACGAAGAGGATGTGCTACGCCTGTATTTCCGTAAGGGGGGACTACGTGAGTGAGAACGTGACCTCGACCTTGATCTCGACCTCGACCTCGACCTTGACCTCGACCTCGTTTTCGATCTTGATCTTGATCTCGATCTCGACCTCGATCGCGACCTTGATCTTGATCGCCTATGAGTCACAGAGAGACGCGCGCCAAGCCTAGCTCCAAGAGAAGTGGAAAGCCCTGACTTGCGCAAGCCTCCCTGTGTATTTGCCAATGGATTAGCCAAAGGATTATTCAACTTTAATGGCGGCTTCTGAGGCTTTATCGTCATGGTCATACGTTCACTGTGTATACTAGGTAAAGGCTCTTTGTCCCAATCTTTTACCCAAAGCGAGCCATCATTAGCAGCTCGTGTTATTTTCCCTTTGAGTATAATTTCAACCTGATCCTTGTCAACTGCCGTTTTGCACTTTTCGTAACACCTGTTCACGTAATTCTTTAAGCTGTCAGGCCAATCCCCAACTGGATTAGCATTCGTCGCAATAGAGGGAGTACTTCCCACTGGAACACTAGTATTCAGAGATGCACTGACCGTTGTAGTGGCAGGTGTAACAGGATCAGGAGATTCCTCGATAGGTGGAGGGGGAGCAGCTATTTCATGTTGAATAGGAGGTAAGGGTGGTAACTCCACTTTGAGATTAGGTTCCGATACAAAATTTGTTGTTGTATTGTTTCCCTGAAAGTTATTGTTGAATTGTGCCGCTAGATTTTTGTTCCTCTTACGTTTTTTCTTTGCAGCTCCACTGTTGCCTGATTGCGAAAATCCTAATCCAACTTTCTTGTTCTGTAGATTGAAACGAACTTGTCCATTGTACTCTAAAAAGTATAGTCTTATCTAATTATATCGATTTTAACATATAAGATTCTTATGATCTTATGAAAACTACTTACGAGAGATGTCATTATGCACTCCATTCCAATTGCCATAGGAAAATGCACCGTAGACAAATCCCGAATGAGGCTGCATCGATGGTTGTACCTGGCTATGTTGCTGAGTAGGTTGTAGAGGTGGTGGTGGTCCAGGAGGTAGAGGAGGAAGATCGGAATCGTCGTCTAAAGTCATGGGGGTCCCAGGTACTGGAGGCTGTTGATGAAGTTGCGGTTTTATTTGATTATTTCCCTGTGAATTCTGCTGCTGAAGAGGCTGTTGCTGTTGCTGATGTTGGGGATGCTGTTGCTGCATTTGCTGTGGATTAAAAGCATGCCCATAGGCAGGCATCATCGTGTGATAATAATTAAACATTTGACCTTGATGCGGTACTCCTTGATATCCTGTCCCATATAATTGTCTGTAACAAAAATAAAATGGAATTAATCATAAAATAAATAATTGGAAAATACAATGCTTTCTGAATAGGAATAAAAAACAAATAACATGTTTATCCTTTCATTATGAAAAAAGATTAATTATTTCTTTGTAACAAGTCATCTAATTCTTTCCAATTATCAGGTTAATATATTATAATTACATGAATTAATACAACATATATATTTAACCATAAATATATGAAAAACAGGAAGATAAGTTCTTTAATTTTTATACATGCTAAAAATTAAAAAATAAATTGGAAATAAATTAAATTGAAATAAAAAATATTTAAATATTCATTGCTTCATTTATAACTTGCTTGGAATTTGTTCTATCTTATGTATGTTTACATTAAATAAGAAAATATATAAAGAATTGCATCTAT